GTTTCATTTGGACAATAGATTGATACTTATACTGCGAGCATTGTAAATTTACCTCATAGTGCCGCCAGCAGGCCACAGACTCAGACCTACCGTAGAAAAGTATTTTCTCACTGGTTGAGTCGTGTTTGGCATTTGCTGGAAAGTTCCCAGGTAAATATTAATTTTAATCTTGTATAAATAGGTTAGGGAGTTAAGCTTAGTCTATACTGCCTTTTCCTAATTTGTCTGCACATTCTGCTTGAAATAGTTCTTTGTGAGTATTCAGTATCTCAAATTAGGGAACTGCTAAACTATTCCTATTTCTTGTATGTTTGTGTCACATGTTTTTCAGTGTATGTTTTCATGTGTATAAAATAAGATGTGAACAATGACATTTGCTATAATGAAATGTAATTATATTGTTTCCATGATCAGCCAAAATATGAGTTGGGACTGTGGGAAATGATGCCCAAATATGTGCAGGGATGCTGTTACGGTTGTGTGCCTGCCATGTGCTCACTTAACCACCTAAAGAGGGGATTTATAACCCCAGGGGAAGAATGATGGGTGTATAGAATTCACGGTCACTGAAAGATAATATTATTAATATTCAGGACAGCGTGCACATATAAATTGTTTGCGTGTTCAGCACATAACCTGCGCCACATGTTTATGTCATATCAATGTCAGTCAGTTGGAAGTCTGAATGATGACGGACAACAGACTTAGAAAGTCAACTATCATGACATAGCATGAGAGAGGAAGTCAGGATATGTGACGTCCATGTAAGACAAAAGACTTTCAGACTAGACTGGAGAGAATGTGGAATATGAGGAGTGATGGGATATATTTTATTATTATATGTTATATTAATTAATACATGTATTCTTAGTGTAAGTCAAGATACTACACGTATGTGTTTGTTTTCATAATTACACACAGTGCCCATGTGACGATCAGTCCATGAAAGAGACTACTTTGTGTTAGACTCGGCCAGCGGAGAACGATGTGGAGAACGATGTGGAGAACGAGGTGAGGATGAAGTGGAGAATAAGCTGAAACATGCAGAAAACAGGCAAGGAAGAGTTGGACAAGCTTGACAGTTCCTCACAGCTGTCAGAGGCTTATAAGATAAGTTAACATCATTTGCGTTAACATACAACCATCATCACCCCACTTTTAACCCCGGAGCTGTTTTCTCGCTGAAGCTTACCATCATCACATAAACCAGTCACTGTTTGTGTAAACACAACAAACTGGGAATTTTTATGTTAGTAAATAAAGCTAGCTGTATGTCAAGTTTTATACTACATTGTCTGTTAAATTCCAAGTGTATTCAGTCTTACCTGTTTAACTAAACTGATAGATAGAATTACATTTGGTGGGAGCTCAATTAATATGATAATAATTCTTTCATATTCATAATAACACCGGGAGAAGGTAGATGACGGAGGAATCATTTGCCCTGTCTAATAATTCATTTAGTATAATGATAGACATCTAAAATTCCTTTCCTTCTCTTGTGGGTACCAAGTTCAGCTAATGTTAATGTACTTAACGAGCCAATATGGCTGTTTTCTTGGGTATCCAGGACTTTGTCTGAGAGCAACATAGCTCAGATTTTAGTTCGGTTAATCTGGTGGAGGGAATGTGTTGAAAGGAAAATCCCTACTCAACATTATAAACATTTAATCCACCGTGTCACGTCACAATTTTGTACCCTTCATCATCATTGTCATCATCATTTTTTTTCTTTTTCTTCTTCTTCTTCTTCTTCTTCTTCTTCTTCTTCTTCTTCTTCTTCTTCTTCTTATTCTTCTTCTTCTTCTTTTTCTTTTTCTTCTTTTTCTTCTTCTTCTTCTTCTTGATCTTCTTCTTCGTCATTGCTGACTTAATATTATTTGTTCTTCTTTTTTTGTGTGATTGATTTTTCATTTCAGTTGCCTGAACATTGTCTCTTGTGGTTTACTCCCAGTCAACTCTTTCGTGTCCACTGTTTTACTCTCCGTTGTCTGCCGTTCACAAAACTAATATTTTCCTGTCATTGTTCATATGGCAACGTCTAGGTAAGTCTAGGTAAGTCTAGGTAAGTCTAGGTTGGTCTAGTTAAGTCTAGGCTGGTCTAGGTAAGTCTAGGTAAGTCTATGTAAGTCTAGGTAGGTCTAGGTAAGTCTAGGCTGGTCTAGGTAAGTCTAGGTAAGTCTAGGCTGGTCTAGGTAAACCTAGACTGGTCTAGGTAAGTCTAGGCTGGTCTACGTAAGTCTAGCTGGTCTAGGTAAGTCTAGGTAAGTCTAGGTAAGTCTAGGTAAGTCTAGGCTGGTCTAGGTAAGTCTAGGTAAGTCTAGGTAAGTCTAGGTAAGTCTAGGTAAGTCTAGGCTGGTCTAGGTAAGTCTAGGATGGTCTAGGTAAGTCTAGGCTGGTCTAGGTCAGTCTAGGCTGGTCTAGGTAGGTCTAGGTAAGTCTAGGTAAGTCTAGGTCAGTCTAGGCTGGTCTAGGTACGTCTAGGTAAGTCACGGCTTGTCTAGGTAAGTCTAGGTTGGTCTAGGTTAGTCTAGGTAAGTCTAGGTAAGTCTAGCTGGTCTAGGTAAGTCTAGGTTGGTCTAGGTTAGTCTAGGATGGTCTAGGTAAGTCTAGGCTGGTCTAGGTTAGTCTAGGTTTGTCTAGACTGGTCTAGGTAAGTCTAGGCTGGTCTAGGTAAGTCTAGGTAAGTCTAGGTAAATCTAGGTTGGTCTAGGTATGTCTAGGTAAGTCCTGTATATCCACACATTTCTGCCTGGCGCACTTTCAGTTTAAGCTGGTTCAGATGATCCTCCAAATCACTATGTCAAACTTTCCAGCATTCTCTCTTTTTTTGGTCTCCTTCTGCCTATACCACTCCTACTTCTCTAATGTTACAATGTACTACAGCAGTGGTTCTTAGCCTTCTCAATGCCGCAACCCTTTAACATGCCTACAGTTCCTCATGTTGTGGCGACCCCCATCCATACAGTTGTTTCAGCTACTACTTCATAACTTCAATGCATATGTGTTTTCCAATGAATGACCTTTGGTGAACCCCGTGAAAGGGGTTGCTTGACCCAAAAAAGGTTTGGGACCCACAGGTTAAGAACCGCTGTACTACAGGTTTCTCCTTATTATGTTGTTGTTGGCACATAGGGCGAAAACAAATTATCTACATTGCTGCCGGTCAGCTGCAATTTTTGTGCCCTTGGTATTTCATGTTAGTTTAGACTCGTTTTGTTCCAGTTAGTCTATTAGGAGTCAATGTATACGAAAGAGAAGGAGAACAAGTCGAAGGAGGATGTTGTCGACAGCAAAGTAAGAGTTAACAAGACACAGCTAGTTTAGTTGTGTATCCTTTACAGGACGTTGCAAAACCAACGCCAGTAGCCCCTGGCTGTTGTGTGGTTTCTCTAGGCAAATTTACGTCCAGTAGTTTGCCATTGGTTCCTGGACAGTCGGCCCCCTGATACCACTGTCGAAACAAACGCAAATCGCATGGCCCGCAGCTGAGATATAACCCGGCACCCCGGCATTACGAAGCGTTTGCATCGACTTAGCCACAGAACCGACAAGACACAGCTACTCTACTAATTAATGTAAGGGATGAAATACCATGCTGCTTTCAATATTAATGTGGCATGCTGCCAGTAGTAAGGTTCCCTCTGATGTTGCTAGGGGGCAATTCGTTATCAGATGACAACACACGCTGCGGCATCTTTTATTTACAGCTTCTAACCAATTTAAAAATGGTTTCCCCAACAAATTCAACAAAAAGAATTTCAACCCAATTTAAAAAAAAAAAAAAAAAAAGTTTTCTAGCCAATGTAAACAAAATGAGTATTTTAATTAACCTATACATTTTAGTTTCCTAAATACTTAAAAAAAAAAAATAAGAGGAAAGTACTAATAATAACTGCATGCTCGATACACATTACTTTTTTTTTTTTTTCATTCCTTGTAAAGTTTATGCCGAATGGTCGCCATATGTGTTCACAGCCTTTTGCAGCATACTACATGTTATAGACACGCCCGTTTTTTACAACGTTAAGTAGATTGCCATTGAGACTCAATGATGGACTCTCGATACCACTGTCGAAAGGTTAGTTGCGTATCCTTTACAGGACGTTGCAGAACCAACCCTAACAGCCACTAGCTGTTGTGCGGTTTCTCTAGGCAAATTTACGTCTAGTAGTTTGCCATTGCTTTTTGGACGGTGGGCTTTCTTGATACCACTGTCGAAACCAACGCAATGCGCATGGCCCGCAGCTAGTATCGAAACCGGGATCCCGGCATTACGAAGCGTTCGCATCGACTTAGCCACAGAGCCGACACCACTTTGGGAACCCAAGGCAAATCCTCCTGCAGCTGGGAACGAAGCGCGTTAGCAACGCTCAAGCCACTGACACCCACATGAGATGTAGACAGTTGCTTTTTTTTTTTGGGGGGGGGGGGGGGGGGGACGTGCCAGAGAAGAAACGAACTTAAGAACTTGGTGATGATCGGAAATATGGACAAATTATAAAAAAGGAGTAAATGGAAGGCAAGGCGAAATTCCTAGATGGCTTGACTACATTAAAGGGACGAAACAAATGCATTGACCTAATCGACAATATGGTAGTTGTGAGGGATCAAAAAGCATGACAGCATAGCTTTTTGACTAGACACTTGACGATGTTGATGGGAAGGAGGAAGATGGCGATTATGATGATGAGGCTGACGATAATGAGGAATTACGATGATAATTATGATTATGATTACAATGACGCTAACGATGATGAAGACAAGATTACGACCACGGTGACGATGATGATGGTAACAACGATGGCGATGATGAGGGTGAAGAAGATAATGATGATAATGGTGATGATTACGATATTGATGATTAGGAGGAGGATGAGAATTAGATGATGATAACGAAGATGATGATGAGGTTACAACGGCGACGATGATGATGATGAGGGTAACTGATATGAAGACGACTACGATAATCATGATAATGGTGATACAATAACGCTTACCGTCATCACATCCAGGCTGTTGTTTGAAACATTCATCTGGAGACAGTATAATCCCGCCAGGCCATCTCAAGGGGTGTTGTTGACCTAGCACCCAGGTTTCACTGGATGCAGCCAGGTAATAAACTGTAGGCTTCATTGCGCCCGCTGTAACATTAAAATCATACACCTGGAAGTCAAAGCTCACTTGCTGCCCTGGGTCGATCTCGAACCTTCCAGAATGTCCCGGAAAACTTAAATTGGCCATAGAGGCGATGAGCTGGTCTGTAAAGGGGACGCTGTTTGTTGTCTTCGTCAGCAGGTGTACAGCGTATGCCAAAAGAAAGACGAGGTCATATGTAGCAGAGCTATCGGCACCAGATGGGATGTAGGTCTCAATGTCTCGCTTGGATCGGAATTTTGCTGCTAGCATAGGATGCAGGTTCAACATTGGATCCATGTCCAGATTTGCTTTAGATGGTAATATTTGGTATTCACTTTCAAAAACAAGGGAATCAGATGTTTTCGGATGAACATTTTTTTCTGGCAAATCACTGGATGTGTTCTGTTGACGTACATGTTGGGAAGCATTTGAATGTAATATAAAGACATCTTCGATATTCTGTGATGTTTTAATATCCGAACTTTGAATCGTGGCACTGTCGTTGTTATTTTTTATCAGTCGCGCCTGCGCGACCATGGAACTGTTTTCTGATGACGACATTTTATGTGTATCATCTGTAATTCCTTGAAAACCCTGTGACATGTTATCTACATTTGCCGATACAGCCTGTCTTTTAACTATAACTTTACCTGACTGATGTCGATACAAAATATCATGACTTTCCTTCCTAACTTTGAAATCATGCATTTTAAGAGAATTATCATCAGTGTGACCTTTTTTTCCTTTTCTTCTTTGGTATATGCCTGTTGCTCCATTTGAGTGCAAAGATGTGAAGTCTGCTCCATTTGAGTGTAAAGATGTGAAGTCTGTATTAATGTTTACATCTCTCTTGATTCTAACTGACTCAAGAGCAGTTCTGTTCTGCAAACTATCACTAGGAAATGTGTAACCTATCACGAACAAGCTTTCAAAGATGCTGGTGCCTGGAACTATGCTGTCATTATAAAACACTGGTTGCATCATGTCTTCATATTTCAGCCCAAGAACGCTTTGGATGTTTTCATCGTAGGGTGTTTTCGTAAACGTGAAGAAGGCATGCTTGGTGGTCAAGGATAGAGCTGAGGCTGCTTCCAGGACAGAAAGCTGATCGCCAACGTCCATTAGAAGTACAACAACTAAAGATGGGAAAGAAAGAAACAAAAGTGTTACACGTAAGATTAATTTATTTAAAATATGTTTATGATTGTTCTAGAAGATGATTACACTGAGTTTGTTAATCTAATAGTATCATAACGTATTTGTTTATGTTCATAATGAAGAAATAAACAAATAAACTAGGGTGATACGTATTTGTTTTAGGTCTAAGCGGAGAGAGAGAGAGAGAGAGAGAGAGAGAGAGAGAGAGAGAGAGAGAGAGAGAGAGAGAGAGAGAGAGAGAGAGAGAGAGAGAGAGAGAGAGAGAGAAAGAGAAAGAGAGAGAATGGTAACTTATGGGACGTACGGGGAGACATCAAACCAAGGCAATGATAGTAATTAATAGAGCTGGGTTGACTTGAGTCAAGAATTTACACCACAAAACTCTGGACATTTCCATATGCGCTCCGATCCTATCCCCAGCAGCCAGCGAAGAGTTCTAATCATAATGGTGCCGGTCGTAGTTTGGTTGTATGTCCGTCTTGCCTTTCCCCTGAGCGTAGTGTGCCAGTCGAACCCTCTGGTTATACCCAGGTGCATCATTCTCCCCAGCCCATAATAATCTAGTTTCTTTTCTGACTTCGTTACTTGTTCCCAAAGAGCTCTGACAACATCTGCCTTGTCGTGTATCAATTCACCACCAGGCAGTGCAGATCCAGCCAATATGTCTGCCTTTTCATTCCCCACCACCCCGATTAATTAATAAAGTAACACTATAAAGTAAGAGCATTCACTTTTGTTAGTTGCGTATCCTTTACAGACGTTGCAGAACCAACCCCAGCAGCCCATGGCTATTGTGTGGTTTCGCTAGGCAAATTTGCGTCCAGTAGTTTTCCACTGTTTACTGGGCGGTCGGCCCCCTAATACCACTGTCGAAACCAACGCAAGGCGCATGGCCCGCAGCTTGGATCGAACTCAGCACCCCGGCAATACGAAGGCATTCACTATAGACAGATATAAAAAAACGTAAGAGTAAATAGGTAATCATATAGGTAGAAAGTAAGTCACTCAGCCCTCCGGGAAACTGGTTTTGGCACATCTAATGGCTTCTGTTTGCAGTCGCCTTGCATGCGTGATGTTTTTCAAATAAAACTGTAAGCTACATTTTGTGTGATTTCCACCGGCGAAGGAGCTGAGCTGTTAGTGGTCTCGAGGCAAGGTGTCTGCCTCGAGTGCTAGACGTTCTGTGTTCAATGCCCGGTAAGGGCTGGATTTTTTTCACGTGGACTTTGACTTCTAGTAATTCCCCCTTGTCTCTGGGTAGTGAGTAATTTCCATAGCAGTTAAGTTAGTTGCGTATCCTTTACAGGACGTTGCAGAACCAACCCTAACAACCCCTGGCTGTTGTGTGGTTTCTCTAGGCAATTTACGTCCAGTAGTTTGCCATTGCTCTCTGGACGGTCGGCTTTCTTGATACCACTGTCGAAACCAACGCAATGCGCATTGCCTGCAGCTGGGATTGAACCTGGCATCCCAGCATTACGAAGCGAAGCGTTCGCATCGACTTAGCCACAGAGCCGACCTTTCCTTAGCAATAGGAGATCGAAAATAGTAGCCTAACAGCGCTGCCAGGGCAACATTTGGAGTTAAAAATCTACCCACGGTATTTCGGGATACTCGCCGATACTACAAAGCCTGTGCACTGTGCTGAGTTTCTTCGGACTCAGACTTGAGTTAGAAGAAGAACGGAGCACTTATGGGTTTCTACCCGTATGCCATGATGTTGATCTGTTGTTCAAACCTCAACCCTCAAACCTGTCTGCAGTGATGTTAGAAATTCTACTAAGATGTAAAGGACAGAAGTGGAGATGGAAAGGGAAACTAGACAACATACCAATAGAAAGCTATAGTTAACTACTATGAGTCGAACCTATCGCACCCGATATGGGAACAGGACCTTGATGCGGGAATAATTGAACTTCAAATTTGGCCAGTTGGGTTAATTTCTTATTCTTTTTCTTCTTCTTTTTCTGCTTCTGCTTCTTCTTTTCTTCTTCTTCTTCTTTTTCTTCTTCTTCTTCTTCTTCTTCTTCTTCTTCTTCTTCTTCTTCTTCTTCTTCTTCTTCTTCTTCTTCTTCTTCTTCTTCTTCTTCTTCTTCTTCTTCTTCTTCTTCTTCTTCTTCTTCTTCTTCTTCTTCTTCTTTTCTTCCTCTTCTTCTTCTTCTTCTTCTTCTTCTTCTTCTTCTTCTTCTTCTTCTTCTTCTTCTTCTTCTTCTTCTTCTTCTTCTTCTTCTTCTTCTTCTTCTTCTTCTTCTTCTTCTTCTTCTTCTTCTTCTTCCTCTTCTTCTTCTTCTTCGTGTTCCCTGGCTGTAAACTCTTGTAGAAAGTTTTGGTTGTTTTTCCACTTCCAGATTTTAGTTTTTTTCCAAAACGTTTAGTTTATCGTGCACATCTGTTTTAAAAGATCTGGCTTTTTTGCATGCAGACTGTTGGGCCTTTGTCTCCCAGGCTGATGCACTCAGACTTCGAGTGTTGATTTTTAAGACATATTCTTAATGTGAGGTGGGTATATTCTTTTCTTTTCATCAAACCCACATAGAGATAAGGCTCATTTGTATCTGCGAAACCCGGGGTACCCTAAAAGGGGAGTCCACATCTTGCTGAACTTATGAATATTTGTTAGTTGTTGTTGTTGTTGTTGTTTTATATCCAGAAATCATTAGTTGTTAACCCTCTGGCTCGGTTCTATTGATATCGCAACCCTTTGGCCTTGATTCCATTATGAATACCGTAAATCTGGTAGAAATGTGGCTTTTCTGCCTATCCCCCGGGCGTGAACCCGGACCACAAGGCTTTCGTCATCCGGTCGCCGCGCAGTCAGGTTTAACCAGCGGAGCTAGCGTGCCGGGAATCAGTTGGTTTAGCTTGCCCTTCTGTGGCCTCAGCAGTTTTTCTTTGATTTAGAACGAGCTATGAAGTAGGCGTTAAAAGCGCGGTTTGTAATTCACCGATCACCGACGGGTAATTTGAAAGCTTACTGTTTAACGTTGATTTCGACAATGATTTTTTAGAGCCAAACCTTCAGTCATAATTGGCAAACACCTGAACGTGACATTGCCTAGTTAAATTATAAACACCCCTTCCGCCCCCCCCCCCTTTTCCGCCCCACATACACACACATAACTTCTATAAAAGCAAGAAAAAAGATATTAAAAACCATCATCATCATAATCATCAACGTCATCATCACTATCATTATCATCTTGGTGTGCCGTTATAAATCACATAGGGCTTGAAAGTTATACTTTCATTCTGTTCTAACTTCTGCAACTGTTTCAATACCATCAATGAAATCCAGGCCAGCCTTTTGACCTTTTAATGTAAAAAATAAAAAAAACATGCGCTTGAAGGTGTAAATAATAAGGAGTGCAATCAATTTTAAATTTTCAGTTGTTTATATGTACTATGTGACGAGAGACTATGTGATATTTTGTCAGTGGAAAGTCATTATTTCTGTGCTACATTAAATTTTGAAACTACTCTGTAGTATTGTATTTGACGAGGCTGGACGAAGTAATGAAACAACCAATTTTTTTTTTCTTTCTCTTATGTCCGTGTAGAGCTGGGTTTCTTCTTCTTCTTCGCGTTCACCAGCTGCTGTACACTCTGGCGGAAAGTTCTGGTTGTTCGTCCACTTCTGGACTGCAGTCCTGTTCCAGAACCTGAGGTTTGCGTGCGCATCCATTTTATCGATCTAACTCGTATG